TATATATACACACACATATACACATAAGCACACTAAAAAAAGAATAAAAAAATTAAAAGATAAATTTCAGCACAGTAGATGGTGTGACACAATAACAGCACAACAGTACAATCAGTGTGTCAAATGTAGGACCTGTAAGCAACTTAGCATCATTTCACATTTCTTAGGGATGAATGAATAAATTCATTGCACTTAATCTTCACTAAAACAAGTGTGTAAATAGATTAAACATCACTCTACAAACAAGAGCAAAAATAAATAGTAAGAATCAGTCAGTTAATTATTAATACTTTCTACAGTCTGAGCATCATGTGGAGATTAGCCTCTCACTCATGCAGGGAGCAGTTTTTATCACTGTTCTCGTCATGTCGCTCGTATTCCAAAACAAAATCTGCGCTCTTCCTTTCTTCTGTCCATCAAGAGATAATCCACGGGCAACATTCTGCTGATGTCAAAACCGTAAAAAGCGTGCTGTCCTCGCTTCTGCCCGCTAGAACCACCGGAGTGAGAGGAGGTTCTGCTCGGTTGGAATGGAGACTCTTTTGGACCGAGGCTGAACCGAGCCGAACCGCAAAGCTGCTGCCAGGGTGGAGGTTAGTTTTAGCTCCGGTTTAAAACGTTCACGGTTCTGTGCTCCCACGGAAAAATTGTGCGTGACAACTTTGCACTTAGCTTCAACTCTGTTTTTGATGAAAATAGAAAGTTCTGCTGCCGACATTCTTGCTAACTTGTTAACGCAGCATGTTGTTGTGATCACGTGAGCGCTGCATGCTGGATCCAAGCGCTGCTGGATAGAAACACTGGAGCGGAGTCAGTGGACTGCTGGAATGGACTGCTAATATCGGAGCGCTTATATCGGATATTTTTTATGCAGGCCGATAAAATCCGATACTCGTTTTTTGGCTGATATCGGACCGATATCAATATCAGATCGGGACACCCCTAAAAAACACTGCTTTCCAACTTTTCTCTTATACTGTACTTCTGTCCTCTGTTTACCTCCTCTAAACGTCTTTTCTTCTCCTCCTGGTTGGAGACAGTAGTAATGCGTTTTGGTCCGGTCGTGAATGAGGAGGGTTAAGAAAAGATTACCGGGTCTATTGTTTTATGTTATGTAATAAAGATTAACAGCACGACTCACCTTGCACTACAACCCCTGGCTTTTCACAATAGAATCACGCTTAAATCTCCATGCGTCTCCACATCTCCATATTAAAGTCGCATTATACTGTATCTAACTGCACGTCACTGAAGAGGTGTTTACTACATTCAGCGGCGGCGAAAACAGGATGTTTTTTTAACGTCAGCCGATGTAAGAAGCTGAACCGCCACCTGCCGATGCAACAATAAAATTAGCATGCTAACGCACATAGCGGTGCAACAAGGAAAAGTGTCCCCCGGGAAACAGTTCACTGGCGGCCGCGACGAAACGTTCCGCACGTGTTCAGGCTTTTTAAACCGGTATGTCGGTATTCAGAAAATTCATATCACAACAAAAATAAAAAACGGTATTCAGTACGAACCGATATACCGCCCAGCACTATTAGCAAGTAGATTTTTTGAACAAATCCATCAGAAAATGTAAATAAAACATGACCAGTGTAGATGGTTAGCTGTATATTTTCTGCACAAACCTGGTTGCATTAAGTTCCCCATCTTATTCTAAGAGATGCTGCTTCTGTTCAGTCACAGAATCTACCCCACTGCTGTATGTGTTACACTTCAGCTGAGCTGTTGGGAAGTGCTTATTTATTGCTGCGTATCATCGGTTCCCGTTTGGCTTTACTTGTTTGACTTGTTTTTGACGAGCGCTGCATAGTTTCCAAGTTACAAAACAGGATGGCGAAAGTGTATTTTGCCTGTCACTGGAATTTGTATGAGGGACTGTGTGTGTGGGTGTGCGTGAGTGAAGAGAGGTGTGCGCTCGAAGGCGTCATAGACACCCACTGTCACTTCCACTCACATATGCACATCGTCACATCGTTTCCATTACATGTAGGTACGTTTAATCTTACGTCTACAAGGTTTTCATGTGGCAACCTGTAGAAATTAGGGTGTCTCTGTTTTGAAAAGAGAGTTAAACTTAGCCCAAATGATCAGACAACATGAGTATGGCCGTTAACCATAATGCTTTGTGTCATTGATGAGTTGTTTCAATTTTAGACCAGACTGCTGAAGAACAACAGAAAAATCTTTTGTTCAGTGATGTGAAATACTTTTGCTATTTATTTCTCTTTTTCTAAAAAAACTGTCAGCACAGTTATGTTGGTTAATGCAAATTGTTCGTAATCTACAAAGTATTACAAATCTGATTTGAAACAACAGCGTGTGAAAGCCTTGTGTAAAGGCAAAGTTTTCTGTTGCATTCAGGGTCATTTCATTGCACAGGAAGAATCTATTCTGTTTTTAGACTTCTGTCCCGTTACCTGTAAATTAAAGTGATGGGACAGTTTCTGTTATATTCGGCTACTGAAAGGCGCAAGTGATAATGTATTTGTCTGTTCGTGTATACTTGCCTGTCTGTTAGAAACATTTTAGAAACAGCTAGACAATACTCTTAAAAAATTAATCACTAGATGTCCATCTATAACTAGAGATGGACTGATATGAGTTTGTTTTTTCGACCAATGTCAGTCTTTAGAATTCATAGCAGTTGTTAGTGATGTGAAATACCCATTTTTATAATATCTTTTTGACTAATATGGGATTTTCATCTAGCAAAAAATAATGATTATTTGACTTAACCCTTAAATAACATGTACTTAAAAAAACTACATTATGGGCTATAATATGCTGGTTGTAGCATCTGCTGCTACATCTTCACCTTCCAACATGGTACTCAGTTGAATATGCACAGATATGGCAGATTGCTTATTTTTCAAAAGTGTCCAATATTTCCAGTTTGATTAATCTCTATCTGCAGCTGATTAGCTTTTAAAGTAAGCCTGATTCAAGATGGTCGCCACAGCTGATCAACCTTGCAAACACAAAAATGGTTATGACTCGGTTATAACCTGGTTGGCAGGTGATACTGTATGACAATGTGATGTCAGTTACATTAAATACATTATTATTTTACATTATGCTAGACTGTGAGGTGAAGGACTGAGCAGAGGTTTCTGTAAAACAAGAAAAGTTATTGAGGCATTAATATTTATAGAAAGATTTACCATTTTGTCTCTTTAAAACATTCGTACATTCTAGGTCAGTCAAAGCATATACCAATTACGAAGTAATCTGTATCTAATTAGGTTATCTGTTGTTTAGGTGAAGTTAGATGCAGTCATGCTACGTTCACACCAAACACATTTTGAGCATCTAAAACGCGCCCAACGCCTCAAGTTGGACTTGACCGGGACAGAGACTAGATGCGCGTCTGAAGAGGGAGGAGCGTCTTGGTTTTTTTCCAGTCTGTCTTTAATGACGGTGAAATAAAGATAAAATAAAGAAAATGGCTTTGCTTCATTTACTAAAGAGCAAGCGAACGTTTTGCACACACCAGACAATTAATTCAGCAGATCATTTAGAGGCAGTCCGTTTGGTTTGTTTCATCACTCCAGGAGCTGCGAGCTGACAAACTATTTTTTTGTCCCGAGCCCAGTTTAACACATCAGTCAGTTTAACGAGCTGCTGACCCACATCTGTGCTGATATCTCCAGCCAGAACACCAACTACAGATGGTCGATTTCAGCTAAAGAGCTCCTGTCCGTCTGTTTCAGGTTAGTGGGCAACATTGAGGAAACTGTCACAAGGAAAAATGATTCTCTCTGGTTGATGCGACGTGTCGAGCAGCAAAATTTCAGATTATTGAACTCGAGCGTCGGCTGCTTTGGACGCACCGCATGCACGGAAAACGCTCGACCACATTTACCGCTTCTTTGCGCTCCGCGTTAAACGGACTTGACGCGCTGCGTGACCCCTAGACTCGTGTCCGCCATAAACTTTGCATGTAAACCGGCCGCTCCTGCAGCTCAAAATGTGTTTGGTGTTAACGTGGCGCTAGAGAGGACATGGAGGTAGTCTGAGTGAGATGGAGGAGGTTGACTTGCTGTGGAGAACACGGAGAGGGGGAACAGCAGAAAAAAAGATTCATAGCTAAAGTGTTTTATTGTTTTTGTGCTTGTGGTGATGACAAATGGTTTTTAGTGCACATTTTAGTGTCCCTTCTTCAACTTACAAGAAAACCTTAGAGGAAACATGTGTGTCCAGTATAAACATCAAGAAGCTGAACTGAAGAGCTCAAATGATGCTGACATGTCTAAAGTGTTGAGTTGTGGGGTGCCTCCTTTATTTTTTTTCACCACTATTTACATTTAAAGACACGTACACGGGCATTGCCCAGCCATATTGTTCACTGCATGTGGTGTCAACAAAACCTCTGCGCACTCGTTGACCTCAGACACACATCGACAACAGACAACCTTGTGTCGTCTTTTCTGTCTGCTTTAATATCTGTCATATTTGGAGCAAAGACACAATGTCTCTTACTTGTAGAAACACTTCCTGTCTTAGATTTACTGCGATGAATAGTTTGTTGATTCGGTTAACCAAGCAAAAGCATGTGTGTAAACTTCCATTTATTCTAATGTAAACCAGCTGTATGGTTTCTTTTCATTTCGTTGACGTAATTTTAACCAGCACGATGATTGACGGCAGTAAAAATTACTCTGCAGAAACATGAAACACCCTTTCTGGATATGGATCTTTTGATCAGTCTCCTTCGCTTCTGCCTTTTGTCGTTAATTCTCTTTTCTCTCCTCTCCTTCTTCAGGAGTTTTACGATAATGCAAAGACATTGTGGCAGGATGAAGGAGTCCGGGCATGCTACGAAAGATCCAATGAGTATCAACTAATCGACTGTGCCCAATAGTAAGTAACTTCCTGAAAATTTAATTTCAAAGGCCTTTCCACTCTGTTCGGAACATGCTACACACGCTCTGATACTGATGATGATGATTTTTGTGAAGGTTTTAACGGTGGTTTTTCTCACTGATGGAGCACATTTTGTGTGTATTGTTTTTCATAAACCATGAACATAATAAAGGCCGCCCATTTTATTTAAATCAATACGGAGTTAACTAAAATTCTGTTGTTTAACCTTTTCGGTAAATCTATTTTGTGTGGGGAAAAAAGTGGTAAAACAACCAGGATCCCAAAAACTATTTAAAAAAACTTCTGAAAAGTCTGAAGAAAATCCAGTTTTTTGCTCCTTTGTTGTGTACTTGGAGTTTCTAGGAGTGCAAAAAAGTTTACTTTGGTCTTGCAATGTTGCATAGATATCTTTTTATTCCGTTTGGGTCATATTGTTCAATCCGTTCTGTTTTCTCAATATTCCATAACGTTTTCTGAACACAAATGTCACAGTATTTGCTAAAAATGGTTATGGGCTTTGAGCCTATCAATTTTGCAAAGCTGCAGTTGTGCAGGTTTGTCGTTTTAATTGTTCTCTGGCTCTGGGTCAGACTTTGGTTCCAACATGTAAGGCTGGATAGACAGGTCTTCTATTGTTGACATATTTTATTTAATTTGTAAATTTAAAAAAAAAGCTGTGTTGCTAGATGGTTGTATCTCTGCTGTTAAACTTCAAAATGACTGAACGGGACGGAGTGGACAAGGATCATTGGGAGTGAGACCTGGAATGGGGCAGGGTGTGAAATGCCTCATTTGCATTTAAAGAGACAGCACCAAAACGAGTTGATCTCAGGGGCTCCTCAGAACAGGAGTGAAAGAGGGGCTTGTAACAAGGAATTCAGACCAAAGGATTGCAGTTTCACTTTATATAGACACCAAATAATATTCATTTTGGTCAGGAATACAGAGATTTAGGGCTTTACTTTAGTCATTATGGTAAATATTAATATTGTTTGATCAAGTCCATAAACTTGCAGTAACTTCTGGTAAGTGGCTCTGTATTACACCCTGCAATAAGGAAAGAAATGGCAACATTTTTCCTGGAGAATAACAATCAGACCTAATTTTATCACTTCGTCTGAACTGCATTGCTTACTTTTCTGCACTCCCTGAAAAACAACTCTAACTTTTGAAAAAAATAGTTTTTATTTAAAGAGAATAGATTGTGTGATCCGCTGAAGGAGAGTTCATTGTCTAATAATGTTGATAACTACATTAATGATGGAGTAATTAACCATCTCTGTCATGGTGCTTACGTGTTTCAGTGCAGCGCAGCAATATCCCAGAGGTTATGACTAAAATGTGATCAGACCTGATAAAATGGTAAATTTGTCTTGACATCAGTGGATGCTCTGCTCCTCTATGATAAACACAGCAGATGCTGCAGAGCTACATGAGTTTGGATTTTAGAACCTTTTACACTTAAAACCGTCCAAAACAACCCGATGTGTAAATAATGTGCTGTATTTATGTCTGAGAGAGATTTTAAACAGCTTTACTGTGTGTTTCATAACTCGGTTGTGAAAGATGCAGCTCTTGTCTGTGTTTTTGACCCGTGTCAGATGTTCTGTTGAGACAGCTGTGACCCCCGCTTTGCACTTTCCAGGGTCTGCTGTGTTGTTTAGTACTTGTCATTTATGAATTTCAGAATTGTATTAAAAATGTTCATTCTAATAGAAAAAGTTAAAAAATAATAAAAGACTTTAGTTTAAAACAATCCTTATAAAAGTGCTTAAAAAAAACAAGGCTCTTCAGTAACATCTAGTGGCAACTGAATGATAACACTTTGTGCCAACCATCCCCACCAACTGGCTTCAGAAACATTTGGTCCTCTTTCTGCAACTCTTGGGTCATCTTTCAGGAATAAATAAGAATAAACAAACTTTTAAGTTTAACATATTTATATATAATACTAGTAATAACGGTAAATACGGCTTGTTCTTCCTCAAGTGAAGATCTTACACATTTTATCATGAATATGAAAGAAAATATAAAAATTAGGTGTGTTCGTGTACCTTAAAATGTGTTCGTAACCAGATAGAAAATACACCAATATTTGAATGTTTGAATGTGAAGAGTTATACAAATACAGCAGCGCTGGGCTGGACCATGTTTTATTCTCTCCGGTCATTCAGCAACTCAGTCCAGGAAGTATTGTTACTTATAACAACTTCAAGATCTGACCCCGCCTACTAAGTTTGACATCACTGTGGGGAACACTGTCCTGCTCTGGGGTCAAATCCTCTCAACATAATTCCTTTTCAGCTACTGTTTCTTTTACATTCAGTAACTGTGTGTAGAATATGTGTTCAGGCCTGTAGCTACTTAATACTTCCTGCTCTGGGAGACCATATCGTCCAGTCATCCAGACCAGTTTGTACATAAAATCATCAATTTAATCACACAAATAATCACACAGTAGTTTATAACACTATATCATATTTCACCTAAGAAGAAACTATATTATGTGAAGTGTCTTTTAAAAATCAGTGGATAAATAATCCAACAAATTTCTTCAAATATATTGGAATATTATGTTGCCTTGAGGTTGTTTGTAAATATTTTGTCCCAGTGTTTAGACAAAATAAAAGTCGTGGAGGAGTCATGAAACAGCAGCAGATTGTCATGTTTAGAAGCAAACATGGCAGAGGCTGAGTCATCTACAGATAAGAGGATGTTGGTGGGGGGGGTTGCATTCGAGGAGAATAACTTTAGTTCTCCTCTTGAAACAACAGACCTGCAGCCTCGACTGCTTTTTTTTATCCTTCACTTACTCTGAAATTTATTTAAGTCTTTAGGTCGTTTTGATGTTTTAGGGGTTTAAAGACAAATGAACCCCCCACCCCTCTTTTTCTCCCTCAGATTGTTGAGATAGTTCAGCCCAATGTTTTAGCTCCCGCCCCCTTCTTGGTTGCACACACTTCCAGCCCAAAAACACAAACTCATCCTGCTTTTGATTTTGCTTCGCTGCTCCTCCTCCTCCTGCCTTCGGTTTCTCCATCCGTCTGTCTATCTTCTCTCTTGAGCAACTCCAGCTGCACAAGATTGGGAGCTGATAGACTATTAATAGCGCCTGTAGTTGGCTCTCCATGGTTACCGTGCTGCAGGCCAGGGTACTGGGGAGCTATTTTTGAATATCTGCTCCATAATGTCAAACGCCGCTACACTTTTATTTCTGCCTCTCTTCTTCCTTTTTGATTCATGGCTTTATAAAAAAAAAAACCTTCTAAAAACGTTTATAATATTTTATTATTTTTAGAAGATTCAAATTTCTGCTGCCCTTTAATTGATTTTTACACATGTACAGTTTCAACCAGATGTTTAAATGCATTATAAAAAGGCGTAACATTTTTTTTTTCATTGTTTTATCTGGGCATTGTAACCAAAGATGATCAGAGTTGTGGAGGTCAACAGTTCCTGTCTTATCTTGGCTGATTTGTTTAGTTTTTTTTCCATGTCGTCACACGAAGAAGCGGTGTGTTTTGAGGTGTGCCTTGAAATGCGCCCACAGGTGTGGCTCCAATTAAATGTTGTTAACGAACAAATCTTCTAAAGCCGTGACGTCGTCATCTGGGCTTTCCCCAGACAGTTTGATGGTGTTATAGTTCATCAACTCTTGACTTTGAGGATAATAAAAAAAAAAAATTCTCTCTCATTATTCAGGCATTTGACAAATGGAAAACCCCAACCATAACTGACGTAAAACAGGGTTTAGTTTGATTTAATGTCAGACAGCAAGGCAGAAAAAAATGGTTGTGATTTTCATACATTGTTAGTTTGTTTCTTGACATATTGGACCATTTCTTCAGTTCTCATAAATCAGTAAAAATACTACATGCTGTTATTTTAGCTGCTCTGTTTTTATCAGCAACATCTAAAATATGTATTATTTTAAAAAGTGTGATTGTCGTGTTTGCTTTGAGAGTGTAAACTGCTTCTTGAGCGGCCTTAGTTTAGTAAAATGAGTTCAAGTCTGATGAGCTGACAGCTAGTCTGAATGCAGCCTAGAACAAAGTGCTGCCGTCTTAAAACAACTCCAATCATAAACATTTCAAGGTGAAAAACTTGTCAGTTTCTTTTCTTTTTACATTATTGTTAATTTAGCTGTAAGTGGATATTTATAGAGTCCTGTGACTGTTAACGCCATCATTAACACCAGCTGGTGTGGGAACATGTTGCATTTCTGGGACAGCCAGGGGTTAAATCTGACAGATTTAAAATTATTTCCACTGAAATAAATGTGCTGTGCAAAAGGTTTTAAATGAAGGTGTTTTTCATGAACTGCAGTTAAATTTTAAAGACTAGACCTGGTTTAAGTTGACAACAATCCTCTTCGCTCACTTTGGGCTAGCTGTTAGCTCATCCGCTACGTCAGAATTAGACGTTTATTTGGAACTTTTACACAAACTCAAATATGTCAGAACCGTTCTGTTTAAGGGTAGACCATCTCCATTTTGTTTTTTATACATCTGTAAGTGTTGTTCAACAACCTCTCAAGTTGTGCAATGTACACGAATGTCTCTGTAACCATTGTGGTACCTTTTGTGTCTTTTCAGCTTTCTAGATAAGATCGACATTGTGCAACAGAATGACTACACTCCATCTGATCAGGTTGGTACTTTGAGCTGTTAGAGATTCAGTTGTTTTTTTTTTTAAATCGGGGTCAGTAATATGCTATAATATGGTTAAGCTTGCAACAAAACCTTAGTCAAATTTAAAGCCTAGCAGTGCCTTTTTGAGTAAAAAGAAAAGATGTTGGAAGCCTCTGTTAAAACCTAATCAGTTTTAAATTTAACGCACTATAAATACTCACAAGTCTTAATCTTTGTAGTTGTTTAGGCCTCAAATTGGCTTAAAAACAAGGGCAAAAATAAAGTTAATATTGGCTTGTTTGCTCGATTTTCCCTTGTTCTAATAAAATAAAGCTATGGAAGTTGGTGACTCTTATTTATTGTGATGGTTTGTATTTAAACATTAATGTCTGTATATTAGCTGAGATTTAATCCAAAACCGTTCTTTTCACAGGATTTGCTTCGCTGCAGAGTACTGACTTCAGGGATCTTTGAGACAAGATTTCAAGTGGACAAAGTTAATTTCCAGTAAGTAATAAGAGGAAAGGGAATGCATTTTTTTAAATAGCCTAGTGGCTCAATATATGTAAACACATGGATTGTTGGAGTGATTTCTCCAGATGGTGGCAGTGTTTCATATATTTACACAGACATCTCTTGTCCCACACAGTATGTTTGATGTTGGTGGTCAGAGAGACGAACGCAGGAAATGGATTCAGTGCTTTAACGGTAAACCTCTGTTCACTCCTTCCTCCCACTTCACTCAGCTCATGTAGTTTCTAACTAATGGTTTGTCTAATTTGACTCCCTTGTCCCTCTCAGATGTAACGGCCATCATCTTCGTGGTGGCCAGTAGCAGTTACAACATGGTGATCCGGGAGGACAATCAGACCAACCGTTTACAGGAGGCTCTCAACCTCTTCAAGAACATCTGGAACAACAGGTGACGGGAGAAACCACACCATTCTTTATGATAAGAGTCTGATAGACGTCTTATCAGATGTTTACATAGAGGGACTTGAAAGTCTCTGTTCAGGATTAGTTACGTGCAGCATCTAACATTCAGGAGCAGTTTCAAAACCTAAAAGGCTCTGTTCAAGCTGCAGGTCAATTGATTATTTGCTTAATGCTTTTGCGTGGACGTTCACATAATATTTTAAATGCGACCTCCGTCAGACTCCAGTGTGAACTCTCCACAGCACTGATGCGAGCCACATGCGCAGAAGACATGATGTCACATTAAAGTGCCTGTGACATGCATATTCTTCAAATATAAAAAGTCAAAGAAAACATCTTTATATTTAAGAAAGTTGGAACAATACACACGATTTAACCCATTTAGTCACAGAAATGGCGCATTTTCTTTTGAACGTGACTCAACCTTAGTGAAACAGGAAGTGACATCAAAGCTTTAACAAAGAAAACTCTCTGGTCTTTATTTATTGAAACAATACTATTTGAACTCTGACTCTTCATCTCTCTCTGATAGTGACTCTTAATATAATATCTTTAAATATAATCTTAAGAAACATCAGATTCTGCTCTACAGTCTGTGTTGTTGGCTGTTGTAGCACTGCTCTGTTCACATTCAGACATTCCCCTTTGACATCACTTCCTGTTAATTTACAGGCAGAAATCTCAACTGTTCATCTCAGCGACATGAAATTTCTTTTGCAATATTTTGTCAATGACATCTTTTCAAAAATGCATTCATGTGTATTACAAAAAAATTGACGTTGCATGCACTTTAAGCTCACTGTTCACTGAAGTAAACATGGGTGCTACATGTTAACATGACGATTCTGAAGTTGTGCAATCAGAGCAGATTAAATAATTTTCTGACGCTCTTTTGTTGTTTTCATTTGACCCAGCCTCTGGCTGACGGCTCTGGTGCAGCATTTTATTTATGGAACAGAGCAACGTGCTGGAAGTAAAGCTAACTGAAGGATCGATCCTGTAACTTTAGTATCTGTACGGTCCAAGACAAACGTCATTTTCATATATTGTGTGCGCAGTTACAAGATTAAAACGACACCAGGTTTGCATCAATATTGTAAACACTTGGATTGATCCGCTCACCCTCACTGACGTAAAAGTCGGATAAGATGCAAAATGACTGTTACTTGACTGTTCAGAGTGATGATGTCAGTTTAAAATGCATAAAAAAACAGATATGTATCTGATTAAGTACCCCTTACAGAAAAGGCCTGGGTCACCTGCAGTGTACACATACAGTGGGGAGAACAAGTATTTGATACACTGTTGATTTTTCAGGTTTTCCCACTTGCAAAGCTTGTAGATGACTGTAATTTTTATCATAGGTACTCTTCAACTGTGAGTGATGGAATCTAAAACAAAAATCCAGAAAAATACAATGTATGATTTTTAAATAATTAATTTCCATTTTATTGTGTGAAATAAGTATTTGATACACCAGAAAAATGAAACTTAATATTTGGTACAGAAACCTTTGTTTGCAATTACAGAGATCAGACGTTTCCTGTAGTTCTTGACCAGGTTTGCACACACTGCAGCAGGGATTTTGGCCCACTCCTCCATACAGATCTCCTCCAGAGCCTTCAGGTTTYGGGGCTGTCGCTGGGCCACACGGACTTTAAGCTTCCTCCAAAGATTTTCTATTGGATTCAGGTCTGGAGACTGGCTAGGCCACTCCAGGACCTTAAGATGTTTCCTACGGAGCCACTCTTTAGTTGCCCTGGCTGTGTGTTTTGGGTCGTAAAATGCTTTTCTGTGTTGTGTTTTTCCTTAGGTGGCTGCGGACCATTTCTGTCATCTTGTTCCTAAATAAACAGGACCTGCTTGCAGAAAAAGTGATAGCAGGGAAATCCAAAATTGAGGAATACTTCCCTGAATTTGCTCGTTACACGACACCAGATGATGGTGAGCAGCTTAATTGTTCACCACGACTTCCTACTAACGTTCATTTTATAGCCTCAAGTTTAGAAAGAGTTGGAATGATATGTAAAGTACAAGACTTGTATTACATGTGGAAACTTGTATTTAGTTACATTTTTCGGTTCTTGTAACTTGATCTCATTTGTCTCCAATCATCTGACAGCGTTTGCAGAACAAGGAGAAAATACACAAGTTACAAGAGCAAAGTACTTCATAAGAGATGAATTCTTGGTAAGCACAACTTTTCATTTATCTGTTATTAAAGATGTAGGTTTTCTAAACAATACAAATTGGAGCAATTGTTGGTGCTTTTTTAAAACAAAGAGAAGGATGTAAAATGTTTTTTCTCCCCCCTTTTTTTGCAGAGGATCAGCACAGCCAGTGGGGATGGGAGGCACTACTGTTACCCCCACTTCACCTGCGCCGTCGACACGGAAAACATCCGCCGTGTCTTCAATGACTGTCGAGACATCATCCAGCGGATGCACCTGCGTCAGTACGAGTTGTTGTGATGGGAACGAAACATTGTTTGCCAAAAAAAAAACATTTAAACAAATACGATCAGACTACAGAGAGAGGAAAAAAAAAACACTGAATGCTGAGTCTTCGAACTCCCCTTTTTCACAGATGTGTGTGAGCGCCGGAGACAGAAATACGGCCAAAGTACAAACACACACACACACTTGCCGTAAACACACCCTGAGCCCAGAACTACCCCTGATGCAAACTCCCTACCTGATGTAGAAAGAGCTGTTTAGATGATGGGGTTTCAGGAACTACTACAAAAAAATAAAGAAAGAAATAAAAGAAATCGGACTTAAATTTCCTCCTCCAGCCATAGTTCAACCTCTTCACTTTTTGACATCATATATTGTGCTTCACACGTCCTCTTTCCCTGGCAGAGCGGCCCGGTCTGTGCTGAGTTTCCTACAGCTGAGATTGTGTTGCTAAAACTGTAGTGCAACTGGACGGGATTTAAAGATAACTGCTGAATTACTGCAAACCGTGCGTCAGAGCTGAACACTGCGTCAAACTAAAAACCATACACAAGCACTGTGCTCAGGACTTGAACCGTGCACACCAGTCCTTCCTATCACTTACAGATATCTTTGAATTCAACGTATCACACCTGCTTTTTATGGAGTCGGCAGAACCGGGTGGGGTCCGGGGAGCTACTGACCTGTGTTGTCGACGTTGCCGGACCGATTCATCGGGACTTTGGAGAATAAAGGAATCGAGTGAGCGCCGGAGTCCCGAGGAGCACCAGCGTCACCACGAACTGAACCGGACCACGGGTGTGTGACCAGGGCTCGGAGGACAGGACAGGATCGACGGCGATGACTCTTCCCCAGAACTGTTTTTTGCCTCCTGACTCTCTGCCTTGTTAACTGTGGAGCAAAATGTGCGGAGGATATATTGAATTTAAGACAAAAACAAACAAAAGAAATTTAAAAAAAGCCAACTTTTATGGAATTGAAATGGAGTGCAGAAAGCATTCTTCTACAGTACAGTACCATATAAGTTAATGAGAACTCATGTTTTACTGTCTTCACAGCTGTTTTTGTCTGTGTAGACTTTTGTGCCATTGTGCCCTGTGCGCTCTTTCTTTACTCTGTCAATCGCCCTCCTGTTTTATTTTTTTAAACCTGACATTTTGTTTTGCTTCATCCCCACCTCCTGTTCTCTTCTTCCTTCACCACTTAACATTTGCACTTTCCTGGAAGTGTTTATTTGTTTCAAGAGAAAATTAAATCTAATAATCCTGAACAATTGAGGGGGTAAAAAAAATAAAATGACCTCTACCAGAACTCTTTTTTTTTTTTTTTTTTTTTTTGCATTCATGAGGTTAAACAACCTGCCCACAGCTCCCTGTCATTCCTCTCCCATCATTCCTCCCCTCCTTGGCCTCTTGCTCCTCTGTATGTCTGTCTTTATTTTACTGCTGAACTATTATTCTTGTACAGACTGTAAAATGTATTATTTTGTACAACTTTATTGAAAAAAAACTGAACTTTTAGAAGATCCCTGTGCCTTGATCACGACTGTACGTGTGTAATGAGCTAAAGTGGGTGTCATACTGCGCTGTAAAGCTTGGCCAAACCCCGCCCCCCTCCTAACTCCATGCCATCCTCGCTTCTTCTCTTTCTTTAACCCTCCTGTTTCTCTATATCGCTATTTTTATTTTTCTTGTTTGTTGCTCTTCCTCCTCAGAAATGGAGGACAACCATGTGTAGCTTTTGTATTTTTTTTCCGTTTTCTTTCCCCTTCCTTCACATTCTCCCTTTATGATTTAAATATCTATTTTTGGATCCATATACCCCAAAAGATAAATATATGAAATGTATATGGGTTTTAAAAAAAAAAGTATTTTATTAGAATCAAATGAACCATGACAAATTGTACACTTGATAGTGTGCGTATTGCTATAACTTAAATCCTTTCAACTGAAGTTGTGTTCAGGTTTCTTCTGTTTGACATCTGCATATTTAAAAGGTTATGCAGGAGGTGACCGATGCAAAACATTCTCACAAAAACATCTTTTAGTTTAAAAAAAATTTAAGTTTGCGCAGCAGTGGCAGCTTGTAGTTTCAACATCTCGCTCATCTCTGAACCGTTCTCTTCATTTATTCAAATATGGGTCTCTGCTTTTTGACCAGGAGTTTTAAAATGAAAGGTTTTTATTTAAGATGTATCATTGGTATGAAAAAAAAAACACTACAGAAACTGGTCTCTCTCAAGCTGAATCTTGGCAATCTTATCCCTAGATTTTGATCCATCATAAGGGATGTTATAAATCTACGCCAGAGGAAGTGAAGTTTCCTGTTCATTTACCCAACATTTCCTTTTCAGATAAACACTCTGCATTTATTGGAACAAACATCACGGTTATAAAGTCTTGAAAGGAGAGCCTTCAGTTCTGAAATAAAATCATGTGAAATTAAATTCATCGGTATATTTAAAAAATCTGATAAAAGTAATGCATATTTAAAGATGAGGCTTTTTAAAGGCTGATTATTGGTGTGTTTTTTTTGTTTGTTTGTTTCAGCGCCAAAACTACCAATTCAGAATCCATCTATCTCGCATGTCTAACATGCTAAAGTTTAAAACTTGTTTTTTATCCAAACAATGAAGTTAGTTTCTGCTTGTTTCTCATAACATTTCTTTTCTTTATAATTTCTCTTATGATGGGGAAAGTTGTTTTTTTTTTTTCTAACCTTCCAATGTGTCCTCAGTCCAAACAGATCAAAAACCTTAAAAAATACTTTAGTCTTTGGTTCATTTTGAGCTTTGAAACTATGTTAACGATTTGACAGGTGGCTTACTTTGGTAATGGTATTCTCAAATAAGTTTTTTTGTGATTGACTAATTTGACAAATGGGGCTAAAGAAGGTTATTAAAACTGAGATAATTGTCACAGATGTCAGATCTAGATAAATAAGACTAATGCAGTTGAATGGACAGTATTGGTCTGTAAAATGTCAGCTGTTTTTTTATTCTTTAGGTCATCTCTTGGAGGGAAAGCAGGTAAAGATTTGAATGGAAATTCATATAAAAGCAAAATCAAGTCATGACACTGAACAAAACAAAACCAGATTTGAGGAAAGACTTGAAAGAAACATTTATTTCTGATGAAATGTTGAATATATGTAATGAATATATTGAATTTTAGAAATGGGAAAAACCTGATATAACGACTTACAGTCGATCCATGTCAGGTTTTCCGCTATTAGATCTTTGGAAAGCACCTTGTTGGTGCTAAAGTACTATTTATGTCAGTCAAACTGGTATGTGTTGTAGATTAAGTTAAAATATATGACTATGAAAGGCTGCTTGTGACAAAACCTGAAGATCCATTTTAAGTTGTGTTTTATGTGTAGACATGATTGGCCCCCCTGCAGCCCTACGTGTTGGACACTCAGGTGAAGAGAGGTGTAGAGCTGATCACCACCTGGTTGTGAGGGTGAACATCTGGACCCCAACATTCCCCATGGGGACATGGGACCTGAATGGGCCAGGTTCAAGACTGGCTCAGATGTGTTTTTCAGAAGCTGTGGCCTGAAGGTCATCATTGCTTTTCACTGCAACAACCAAAGGATCTGCTGGTGGAGGCCATCAAGCTGAAGAAGGAAACCTTCAGGGCTCGGCTGTCCCGGAGGACTCCTGAAGCAACCAGCGGGTACAAGAAAGACTGCAGCCCCCGTGGTTTTGGGGGAAAATGGTAAATAACTTTTAGTTGGCCTTGACGTTCCAGCTCAAAGTCAAGCTCATTTTTGGTGCAGGCTAGATTTCACAAGAGGTTTCGCTTGTTTTGGACCTTGGTGGTGGTGGTCATGGGAGATCACAAGGCCATAAGGTAGCCGGGCTCAGCCTTACAGATAGGGTGAGAGGCTCAGAGTAGAGCTGCTGCTGCTTCACATCAAAAGGAGTCATTTGGGCATCTGATCAGGAGACCTGAACCCCTTAATTTGAAGGTTTTCCAGACGTCCCACAGACAAGAGGCCACAGGGCAGACCCAGAATTCACTGGAAACCCAGGGAGTTGTGCGTCTTGGAAGATGTATGGGTTTCTCTCCTGGACCTGTTGCCTCCACGATCCAACTACAGATAAGTGGTAGAAGATGGAAATGATTTAAGCTGTCACAAATTTACTTTTTTAAACCATTTTTCTGCAAACCAATACTGTTCAGAGACCTATGCACAACATTTACTGCAACAAAATTTTGTAGTAATATTTTCATAGCTTTCTATCTCATAAAATTATAAATATTACATTTTGTTCCGCCTGCCATTATGTATTACGTTTCCAGGGGGCGCTGTTGTTTCTGACTACAAATTGACTTCAATTAAAAG